GGCTGCTTAGCTTGCCAGCCTTACTGTTACCCTTCTCAGGGCAGCTTCCTCTCTGCCACTATTGCTTCTTTTTCTTCATTTTACCAGCTCAGCAATTGTGGTGACCTCAAGATAGACCCTTTTTTGGGACCAGATGTAATACCAGAGGCAGTGTATTTCCCAGCTGCTCACTTCAAAGTGAGTTGAGTAGCTTGCTTATATAGCCAGAAGGGGAAGTAGATAAGGATGTTTCCAATCACAGCATTCCCCTCATGTTTGCATTAATCTCGGTTCAGTCTGTTATGCAAATGAGGGATTGTGTTTGTACCAATCACAGGCCTTCCATTAGGCAGAAGTGTGTCCTTCTCCCCACACCTGGGTGGAAATGTCTTCTGTTGAACCAAAACAACAAAGGCTTACCAGTAACAGTACTTTAACAATATTTGACAAAAACAACAACAAGAAGAAAACTTTCTATATTCTGTGATGAATGGTTCTACAGGTTTTGACAAATATGTACATATCTCCAATTCTCAGTGCCATACAAACCAGGTCATTTACACTAAAATGCACTGTGTATCTCTATGTAGCCAACTCTTTCTTAGTCAAACCCTAGTAAACACTCATGTTTTCCATACCTGCAGTTTTGCCTTTTCTAGAATGAGTAGAATCATACAGTATGTACTCTTCTAGGTGTGACTTACTTCCTTTGAATTTCAGTTTTATCTATATCATTGCATGAAGCAATAGCTTATTTCTATCACTGAATAGACTGAATAGTATTCAATTGTATGGATGTCTACAGTTTATCTACTTCCCAACTGAAGAACTTCTTGGTTGCTTCTAATTGTTATCAATTATGAAGAAAGCTATTGTAAACACTTAAAAAAGAAATTTTCAAAAGAGTTCTTACAGATTTACCAGTACTTTAACAATATTTAAATGTTCAACAATGCTTAACTTCCCAGTGTCCCAGCGAATGTGGGTCTCTCCCATCTGTTTGATGATGAGGATCTTCTTGCTATGTCACAACCTGATGGTCTCATATGGTGAGACAGCAAGTGTGCTAACTCAGCTCTCTCTTCTTCTTAGAGAGCCACTAATGCTATCAGGAGTACCCCACTGTCATGACCCTACCTAATCCTAGCCTCCTAAAGAGCCAACTACCAGTAATGTGAATTTGGGGATTAAGTCCAACACATGGATTTTTGGAGAACATACTTATCTATAGCATACATACATGTCTTATATGTGTATGTATGTGTATATTCTTTCCTGACAATTGTCTCATATCCAAAGAATACAAATAACTCTTAAGAATTACTAGAGGAAAACAACCCAAATATCTAAAAGAAAAAAAAGTACAAAGATATGAATAAGCACTTTGTAAAAGAGGATGTTCAAGTAGTCAGCTAATAAAAAATTGTTCTACACCTTTAGTTCTCAGAGAAATGCACATTAAAGTCATAATGCAGTACCAACCTACTGGAGTGGCTAAAATAAACAAATAGTACTAAGTGTTAGCAAAGCTGGAAGCAGCTGTGGTTTGCTTACAGTGGGGTAGGAGTGTAATTTGTGCAGCCAATTTAGAAAACTGTGGCAGCATGCTCATATCTTATGACTCAGCAGTTTCTCTTCTAGGTACTGGACATAGTGTATGTAACTAGGATGCATATATAGGAATATCAAGCTTATTTGTAAATAGCCAAAAATTAGAAACTATTCAGGTATCTATGAATAACAGAATGGTTAAATTGTTTTGTAGTCAAATAATAGAATGGCATCAAGCAAAACAAGAAGGAACAAACTACTATATGCATTTACATGGGTGAATCTTACAGAATATTGAGTAAAGGAAGACAAAGTTAAAAAAACCCCACAAAACTATTTATGTAAAATTAAGAAATAAGCTGGGTGTGGTAGTACATGCCTTCCCAGCCTTTGGGAGGTGGAGGCAGGAGGATTGAGAGTTCAAGGCCAACCTGAGCTGCATAGTGAAATGCTGACACAAAAAAAAAAACGTAAGAAATAGGTAAAATGATTTTACAGTGTTAGAAGCCAAGATAATGGTTACTTTCAGGTGAAGAGTAGGCACAAAGGCACAACCATAGATTGGAGTTCCCATCACCCCCTCCTTGTATTTGATTAGTTTGCTAGAGTGGTTCACAGTACTCAGGGAAACCCTTACTTTGGTATACCAGTTTATTACAAAGGATATCATAAAAGAACACAAATGAAGAGATGCATAGGGCAAATCATGTGGGAAGCAGCATGGAGTTTCCATGCCCTTTCTGAGCGTACCCTCTAGGAACCTTCACATGTTCACCTGTCCTTGAAGCTGTTCTGTTCCTGTGTTTGTGAGTTTTATGAAGCATGATTGAAGTATGGGTAGCTGTGTAGAAATGTGACTGAACAAAAAGGGTATGACCTAATGCTGTTAGACTAAGTGGGAAACCCAGCAAGGCCTGTCCAGATTCTTCTTGGCCCCTCTATTCAGCATTTCTTTGCCCTGGTCATGGTGCAAGACCCCTTATGACATGGAAGTCTTAGAATCTACTATCAGATAAGGGAGGCTAGAAGATTTCTTTATGGTCAGCTCCAAGACAGAAAAGGCAAGTTGGGGTATGGAAAGGAGTAGATTAGAGTATATTCTTATTTCCTATGACCTACCTTGGGGAGGAGAAATTCTCCCCTAGGCTTGCCTAGGGGAGAAAAAGGAACAGATGAAAGGAGGGCAGGAGATTGTCAGAGATTTTGCTTTCTTAGGCCTAGTTAAGAAATAAGAAGGCCTTTGTAAGTTATGAGCCAGGAACTGTGGTGAAAACAAAAAGGTACCTATATAATCCGTATACAGGGAAAAGATCAGCATGCTTCATGTGGAAAGTTTTAACTAGATGTGAGTTTCCACTTTTATGAATTGTTAGGTTTGTTAGAATGCTGGCCTACTAGCAGCGGTACTATTGCAATGAAAAGATTGTTTTGAAGCTTCACAAGTCTACTGTCAAAAACTTTGACAGAAGCAATAAAAATTATTAAGAGGCAAAAGTACATTCTAAAATTCTAGAAAAGCCAGTGGACACAGTATGTAAGCATCATAAAATTTACACGAAATAACACTAAAATATGTAAACAAAATAAAAGTTTTAGGGTTTTTTTTTTAAAAACTGAGTCTCACTGTGTGGTACAGGCTGTCCTCAAACCCAGGTTCTCCTTCCTCAGTCTCCAGAGTGCTGAGATTACAGGATGTGTGCCATCAGATACAGCAATATTGAGTTTGTTCATTTGTTTGTTTTTTTACAAAGGTTTTATTTTCTTTTGCTGAGCTCTGCCTGGAAAGCACTCTTATCACTGAGCTGGACCCACAGACCCTTATTATTTTTGGTAGTACTGGGGTTTAAACTCAGGGCCTCACACTTGCTAGGCTGGCGCTCTACCACTTGAGCCATTCTGGCAGCCCAATATTGAGTTTTTAAAATAACATTTGTTTATGTACATATTGGAAGAGGTCTGTCCTGTGCATCTAGGATATTTTGCAGCAGTCCAGGCCTCTGTCCCCTAGATGCCAGTAGCACACATCGTCTCCCCATTTGTAACAGCCAAAAGTGTCTCCAGACGTGACAGATACTCCCTGGGGGCAAGAGTCATCCTTGACTGAGAACTGCTGAGGTAGACCTAGATTTGAGTTCCAGTCCAGGGCCTCTAGGTATGTGAATTTGAACACATTACCTTTGAACACATTAGCTTTCTTAAGCAAGATAATGTATAGATAGTGCTTAGTTCAGTACCTGAAACAGAATTAATAAATAGTAACAATTATTAATAACTGACATTTATTATAATTAGTGATAATTAATAAATGATAATTATTGTGGTGCTAAACCTGATCTCTTTTGTGTCACTCTGCCTCTCTATCCTCTAAAAAAGAAAAGTGTCCTCCACCTTTTTGGGGCAGTATTGAGGTTTTTGAACTCAGAGTCTTGCACTTGCTAGGCAAGTGCTCTACCGCTTGAGCCATTCCCCCAACCCTTTTTGCCCTAGTTATTTTTGAGATAGGGTCTTATTGCTACCTCTGCCTCCCATATCACTAACTTTTTTGGCCTGGTCTCACACTACAAACCTCTTATCTTCACCTCCCATGCAGCTCAGATTGCAGGTATGAGATTGCTTCTGGCCCTTAAAATGCCTCTTTGTGTAGCCTGTGGTCAAGTTGCCTATGTTCAAACCTGTAATTGTTGAGCTATATATTATATATTATTCCACTGAATTTTTTTAAAGCCTTGGGCAGTGAAAAGGGATAAAAGTAGAAAGGGGACTCAATATACTGTAATAGTACAGTAAGATACTGTGTTAAATACTGTTATACTATTACCTCACTTATTCCTTCTAGCAATATCTGCAAAGTAAGAAACATGATCCCTATTTTGGAGTAAGCAAATAACAATTCATTTGCCCATCATCACCAAGGTTTTTATTTGAAAACCTATATTCTATTCATAGTGCCATAGTACCTCTCCCAGATGGTACTAATGTTTCTGCCTTAAATTTCTTTGTAGATTGTATATCTTGACCTATCCTGTAACCATAGGATAGGAGCACACAATGTAGGACATTGGAACTGTGATAAGTCATTTTTGTTGTTGCTAATGACACCTAGCCCAGCTTTTCTGGCTCCCTGTGTCCATTTTTGTTTTTCTCCTGGTCCTGAATCCTTTCTTATGGGAATAAGACTTTTGAGGTTTGAGTTTTGTTTTGACTACATGAATAAACCTTACTTTTTTGATTAGTTATTATAGTTTCATGCTATTTAAGCATGCAGAACAGTTAAATCTTAAGTTATGAGGTATATGTTTAATAAGCCAAATAAAAACAGGTTTGCTTAAAATCAAGAGGGTTAGATCTGATAAGAAAAACAGTCTTAAAACTGCCATGTGATCTCTTTGTTCTAGACTATAGAGTAAAAGAGGATTTTAAGCCTAGAATTTCCTAAAACTCTACTGTCTATGTAATTTAAAATTTTTTAGCTGAGAGAAGAAAAGTTACAAGAGGAAAAAACTTCTGAAGACCAAATCCACAAACTATTGCCAGAGGATACAGAAACAGGGAAAAAGAAAATGGATGAACAGAAAAAAAGAGACGAACCATTAGTACTGAAAACAAATCTGGAGCTTGTAAGTACATCATCTTTTTCATGGACATCTTCAGTTAGCCTAGGTGACATGGGTCTGTGTTGGTGAACTAGGAGACCAGTAATAGTCGTTGACTGTGTGACGTAAGAGTAGCAAAGAACCTAGTGTTCAGATGAGAGCTGGAGAAAATAATTTTGAATGAGACAAGAGACCTATATATGGTAAGATTGAGTAAAAAGTTGTGGTTAGAGAGAAAGGTGAGTGAGAGGAAAAACCTAGTCTTTTTTTTTTTTATTTTATTATTCATATGTGCATACAAGGCTTGGTTCATTTTTCCCCCCTGCCCCCACCCCCTCCCTTACCACCCACTCCACCCCTCCCTCTCCCCCCACCCCCTCAACCCAGCAGAAACTATTTTGCCCTTATTTCTAATTTTGTTGTAGAGAGAGTATAAGCAATAACAGGAAGGGACAAGGGTTTTTGCTGGTTGAGATAAGATAGCTATACAGGGATTGACTCACATTGATTTCCTGTGCGTGGGTGTTACCTTCTAGGTTAATTCTTTTTGATCTAACCTTTTCTCTAGTACCTGTTCCCCTTTTCCTATTGGCCTCAGTTGCTTTAAGGTATCTGCTTTAGTTTCTCTGCATTAAGGGCAACAAATGCTAGCTAATTTTTTAGGTGTCTTACCTATCCTCACCCCTCCCTTGTGTGCTCTCGCTTTTATCATGTGCTCATAGTCCAATCCCATTGTTGTGTTTGCCCTTGATCTAATGTCCACATATGAGGGAGAACATATGATTTTTGGTCTTTTGGGCCAGGCTAACCTCACTCAGAATGATGTTCTCCAGTTCCATCCATTTACCAGCGAATGATAACATTTCGTTCTTCTTCATGGCTGCATAAAATTCCATTGTGTATAGATACCACATTTTCTTAATCCATTCGTCAGTGGTGGGGCATCTTGGCTGTTTCCATAACTTGGCTATTGTGAATAGTGCCGCAATAAACATGGGTGTGCAGGTGCCTCTGGAGTAACCTGTGTCACAGTCTTTTGGGTATATCCCCAAGAGTGGTATTGCTGGATCAAATGAAAAACCTAGTCTAGTATATTATGTGTCATAAGTTTATATGTTTAGCATCATTTTGACTTATGTATTGTTCTTTGGCATTTAACTTTGTATAATCTTACATCTTTAATTAGATTTCCTTAAAGCTTTCATTTTACTTACCTTTATTCTTTACGATGCCCTAAGCAAAGCAGTGCTTCCTCAATATTAGATACTAAGTCTAAACTTAATCTAAACAGGTTTATAGTTGGACCAAAAAAATGATTACTAGAAAAGATTATAAGTGTTACATTTAAATTTTATAAGAAAGCACCTTTGGAAGATCCATTCATTATACACAAATGGATATTTATAATTTAGTTTCAGTTCTTTAGTAAGTCATATTGGATTGGATACCTATTGCTTGCTGTATGTACTTAACATATCTTCAGAATCATATCTTTTAAAACATTTTCATGCAGGATTATGAGTACTACAGGTTATCTTCCTAATGAATTGGAATTAATAAAGTCTTAGCATCTATAAATACAGGCAATGTAACAGAGTAGGGAAAAAAAAATACCCCACCTCTGAACCAGAAGTATACCTCTTTGGTTCCAGTATTGTATCTAACCATACAACTCTGGCAAAGTTACTTAATGTCTGAGCTTCTGGTTTAATTTTTGCAGACATTTTTCCTGAACTTCAGAAATTAAAATTATTTGTCTTAAGTCAGTGATTTTTTTTTTACTGCAATATGCAGTGGGGTTTCTGATTCCAGTTATAATAATAGTAATTTTTAAAAATTATTATTAAAAATAACCACTTGGGAACCAGGCATGATAATACACCTTTGTAATCCCAGCACTCAGGAGGCTAAGGCAGAATGATCATGAATTTGAGGCCAGCCTGGGTTACATGGTCAAACCTTGTCTCAAACAAACAAACCAACCTTACATTTTACAAGGTTTCATCCTTCTAAAAGATTCAGTTTAATATGCATTAAGTGCTGTGTGCTCTGAATGCTCTGTACTCTCAACAAAATCTCCTGGAGAGGATACAGTTCAGCTACGAAGATAAGAATAAGACACATAATGCATAGAGCATGTCTTCTGACAGGTAGTCCCAGCTGTGGCCTGTGGCCTGTGGCCTCTGAAGACTGTAGCTCTGCTACTTTACCTCAGCAATACTGCCTGTTTGGGTCCTCAGGCAAAACAATCCAGAAGCACTTTTCTGTTTAGAACAAGACAGAATTGATAGAGAAATGTTACCCTTCACCATGATCCTTCAGTAGAAAGAGCCTGCTGTTCCTGGTCTTTTCCAGATTCATATTTCCCGCAGGAACTAGTCTCCAATGCTAATTCATGTCAAGGATGGGGAATTGCCACTACTATCTTCAAAAGTTCATCAACCTAATTTAAATCTTAAAGGGACTCAGAAAGTACAAATTCTCAGATTCCTTTATTGGTAATAGCCAGGATCACAACAATTTTTATGTAAAAACATATTAAATAAAATCTAACCTAGGAGCACTTCAAGTTTTAGATTTTTGTGATACATTGCCTTTTTTTTTCTATTTTATGTTTTTTGAGGACTTTTAAATGACCTTTTTTTTTTTTTCCCTTTGGTGGTACCATTTGAGTCATTCCGCCAGCCCTAAATGACCCTAATTTTGATTTAAATGTGTCTTAAGAGTCTTTGGTGTTGAGCAAAGGATTTCATTTAGTTTAGCCAAGATACATTCAAATTGAGACCCAAGAGATTCTCAAATGGTCCCAGTGGAAAGTCAGCCACTGGCTTTCCAAAATTCTTTTTTTTTTTTTTAATCATTTTTTACATTTACTCACATGTGTATACACTGTTTTGTCCTCTACCCCCTCCTCCCCAGGTTTCTTTTTTATATAGGGAATATTATGATTACAGCCAGACTTATCTTTTCATTCTCCTACCCCCAAACTTCTAGGACTCTAATTTCCCAATGGAATTAAATGAGAATTCCTCACCCCAACATTCAGGTCCTTCCTTAAGTATGATTGTAACAGATCTTTCCACCTTTGCCTATACTCCAAAACTAGGGAGCAGAGCTGTTTGCTTGTCCCAAAATACATACTCTGCTTTCCCTCATTAGGATGCACTTTCACCAGCTAACCTTCTAAAGGCTATTTGTCTCTCCATGTCCAATTCAAAAGCTGTCTCCTCCCTGGAACTTGTAGGGATTCCTCACTTGTTTCTCTACTCCATGCACTCCTCTCCCTTCCTTCTCCTCCCACTCCCACACACTTTGGAATGTTTACAGAAAGTAGTACATTCTCCCTTACATTGTTTTTTTTTGTATGTCTGTTTGTGAGATTTTAAGTTTGTTGAAATATGTCTTACTCATTAAAAAATCTCCTATAGTGATTTCTATATCACAAATTTTTGTGAAATTGAATTTGAATAGAGGGAGGAAAGAATTTATTCTAGGAGCAGAGATATCATTTGTTGATTTTTCATTCTGAAAAAATGAACACATTGTTTAATTTGTTACCATTTCTTATGGTACATTTAATCAAATAATATAGTGTAAATTGTTGAAAACAATTCAGTATAGCTGTTATAGTTATACTAAAGATAATAAATCAAAAGTGAAATACTACTTATCCCATAACCTAGAAATAACCCTGGTAACCGTTTTGATAAATATCCTTCCCAACCTCTTTTCTAAGTGCATTATATATACATCCTATTCGTTGTTTTTCTTTCCAGAACTGCTACTTCCTATACATACTGTTTTAGAATGTTTTTAGTTAACATAAATTGCAGATGTCTTTACCTGTAAATAAAGAATCCACATCATTATTTAGTTGTCTCCTAGTATTCTTGACTGTAGAATGTGTTTAATAATTTAAATAATTCACTAATTTAAAATGCTGTGTTTATCTTAAGATTACTATCTTAAACACCGCTATGATGAAATCTACATGTCTTATTGTTTCCTTAGGAATAAATTAGTAGAAGTGGAATAACCACATCAAAGAAAGTGTCCTTTTTAATATTTTTTGCATTTATTACTCTGTTGTCCTCGAGAAAGTCTGAGTATAAATTACGTTCCTTTTAGTAGTACAGGAAAGTGTAAACCAGTTCGCTCAAGCCTTGCCAATTATTATCATTCTCTAAATTTTCTGGATGTAGCATTTTTTAAAATATCACTGCAGGGATTTCATTTCTGCATGCTCTGTAACATTTTAAGAATGCATAGCGCTATAGACTTACACAAGGTGAAAGATGAGAGGTAAATATTTCTTATCGTATGGTTCTAGGTTTTTGTGTTTGGAAATGTAGAAGGGTGGGGAAACTTTTGCCTAAATAGGTATTTATGTATAATAATGAAATTTAGTTTTCAACAATTAAATTTCATAAGTATTATGAAACTGAAGTTTTTTCTTAAAAGATTGTTTAAATTAATAAAAGTAAAATCTACCATTTATTGAGTACTTATTAGCTAATGTAGTAGATGCTTTTATTGGCTTGTTCGAAGTAGAGTAATCTTTATTTATAAATGAGGAAACTGAGGTTCAGAAAGATAAAGCAAGTAACATATAGTGAGTGACGATGGTAGTTAAGTAACAGAACTAGGATTTGAGTGGTCCTTTACTTGGTACTGAAGTCATTATGAAGAGAGGTCAAAAGAGGCAGAAATTGCCATTACCTATTTCCTGTTGAATCTTTTGATATCAAAGCCTTTTCTTTTTCCCAGAACTGAGAAGACAATGTCATATAAAATTTGATAACAGGTTTTAGTTTCTGTAGTGAATATTTTATATAGTAAGGTTCTCTAAGGAGTTGTATACTACAAAATTAAAAGACCTCTCTGTAAATTGTAATCCTTCAATTCTTCTCTCAAAGGCCAGCTGTTAGGAAATATAGCCCATTGTGTATATCAGCCTAGAGAATAACAAAGCATTTTAGGAATTTTGAAGTAACAAACAGTTACATGAGGGAGCTATAGGATTCTCTTTGTGTGCTGGAAAGAAAATTCTTGGTAGTAAGGAGGGTTTCAAGGGAAGAAAATCCTAAGAAAGAGCAATAAGTAAATTTTTGCAGTAGTTGAGGTTGAAGATGATGATATCTCAGGTAAGGCAGTGCCAATGGATGTAAGTGGAAAGAGTTAATGCTGAAAGACACTCTAGGAATGGAAATAACACAGAGACAGTTTGGAGACTGATGGTTCTCAATTTGAGAATCAGCTTTAGGCATTTATTAACTCTCTAAACATAGGCCAATTAACTACTCTGAGCCTGTTTGCCATCAGTTGAAGGCAGATTATAATAATTTTAATGGGACTGAAATAAAGAACAAATGAAAGAAGAAGTTTCAGAGTAACCCCAAACCTCTATAAAAATGTTACTATGACTTAGAAGTAAGGGAAAGAAAAGATGGCATTGAGATGTCTAGAGAGGCTAGACATGGGGCTTACAGAACAGAAATAGCAAGTTTGATTTTGGATATATTGAATTTGAGTTACGTTTGAGACTGGGATCTCAGGATTCATTTGGAACACAGATTGGAACGCAAAGACAGTGACTTGGAAAAAGAAAGCTTTAAAACATAGCTAGGGTAGATTCCATGAGAACCCCAAATGGATAGTCTTCTTTGTCCCTTGTCTCCTTGCCAGTGTCCTGCACGTCTCTCAGATTCAGAGAATGAAGAACCTTCTCGAGGCCAGATGGCACAGACACATCGCTCGGCATTTGTTTCCAAGAACAACTCATACTCCTTAGCTTTCTTGGCAGGGTAAGAGACTGATACTGAATTCACTTCGGGTTCTTTCATTTGGCTGTGACAGAAGAAATGGGGGGGGAGCAAAAGTATTGTTGTAGCCACTTTGGGGGAGGTGGAAAGGATGGAAAAAAAAAGGTTGGATCTGGGTTTTCACATATGGGTTATAGAGAAAGGGCTGATCTGAATTTTTAAAGAAAAGTAGTACTTATCCATTTCTAGCATCCTCAGTGTGGTATTGTGCTAATTTCTCTACTGCAAAGTGTGAACCTTTATACTTAGAGGGAAGCAACAGGACTTAGAGGGAAGCAACAGACGTTTCTTTTTGTCTGACAATATCTGTAATCTTCCCTCTGGACTTAGAGAACTCTTAGTTTGTGTGAGGCAAGGGTTTTGATTTCTCTTCATTGCCTAGATCTAACTATATCTTCATGGGTTCCGAAAGCAACAACTGAAAAGTTTTTAAACAGACCCTTGTCAAGGAATCTCTTGATCTTTCAGATTTGTAGGTCCTGGGGAGCAAGGAAGGAGGAATTAGATCAATGCTGGAAGGAAATTAAGATGGAAGGAAGGGATGGGAAGAATCATTCATTCGACAGCATTCTGGGAATGGTATACTACATACGGCCACCTGTTTTAATGTAGAGATACAAACGCACGATCTGATCCCAGTTTGTTGTCTTTTTTAGGAGGTTGTGGTTTGAAGCCAATGGGGCAAAAAGTTAGAGACCCTACCTCAACAAGAAAAGCTTTCCATCTACCTGGGAGGTGCAGGGAGGGAGCACAGTCTGAGGCTGGCCCCAGGCACAAACATGAGGCCATGTAAAAAAAAAAAACTACTAAAGCAAAAAGGGCTGGGATGTGGCTCAAGTGGTAGAGTGCATGCCTAGCAAGTATGAGGCTCTGAGTTCAAACCGCAGTACCACAAGAAAAAAAAAGAAAAGAAAAATTTACTGCTAGCTACTCATAAATAAGACAAAAAGAAACAAAGTTTAATAATTTCATGTAGTGCTTGCTACTGTGATCTCTCATGTAGTATCTACTTCTGAGTCCTTTTTGTGTATGTTCTTTTGAAGCAGTTTTCCTCTGTTGAAGATTTCTAAGAGTAAAACTCACCAAATCTTACTTTCCCTTAAGTGCCTCACTTTCTTTTTTTGGGGGAGAGGGATGGAGAGAAGGGTCTAGCCCTCTTTGCTTTAGTTATTTAGATAGGGCCTTGTGTTTTTGCCTGGGCTGGTCTGGACCTCGATCCACCTCCTGCTTAGCTGGGATGACAGGCATGTACTACCATACCATAGGTACTCAGGCTTAATTGATATAATTAATGTCGTTTCAGTTTACTATAAAGATGAGACTCTTGCATTATGTCGACTATGAACGATAGATGACCTTCCAGAATTAACAAATTAAAGATTACTTGCATGACTAAGAATTGTATAGATTCTCCCATGTTTTAGCAGGTATCTCTTAATGATTATAAAAGGGATCTGCTGAAAAAGATAAGAAAATCAAATCATTCATTCTAATCAAATCACAATAAATACTCCCTGAAGCTCATAAATGTTGCTTTATAAAATCTGTGGTTAATTAATATCTCATAATGTGAAATAGCTTAGAAAAAAATTTATATTAAAATCCAAATATGACACCAAGGGAAAATTGCCCAAATTAGTTGGAGTAGATACTGAATGGGTGAATTACTTATCACCAATTCTACCCTTGCACTCTTGCAAATCATTCTTTTAAAGGGGGTGGGTAGCAGATTAATATGTCATTATTTCAAATGCCTTTCAGATTCTTCTATGTTGAGCAAAATTGCAAAGCCTATACAGAGGAACATACTTTTGTGGAACATCTGTTGCATATCTTCTTTTCCTTTTCCTAACCCATTCCTGGCTTTGACCTGTATCAGTGAGCCACAGTGAGACCAGTTGATAGGAAAACATTCACTTCAGGCTTTCAAGAAATGTTTATGATCAGTATTGTACATTTCTAGATTTCAGAGTTCATTTTCTTCCAAATATTCAAGTTTAGGCCGAGTTCAATTATAGTTATTAAAACAGTTAATTGGGTCTTTTCTGCCTATGGATATCCCAAGAAAGCATCATTAAAGTTTTGTCTTCCCATGCTGTCATGTCTAAATCAGAGTTTCTAAAGGAACTGGAACAGCTGCAGAAGCTCTTCATTGGGTTGCACTTTGAAACAATGGATGAGAGTTTAAGAAGCCATTGTAAGCAATGGGGAAACACTCACAGACTCTGGTAATGAGAGATCCAAACATCAAGCACTTCAGGACCTTTGAGTTGTCTTATTAATACCACTGTGGAGGAGGTAGATGCGGCCACGAGTATAAGGTCACATAAGGTGGATGGAAGAGTTTGGAACCAAAGAGGGTTGTCTCAAGAGAAGATTTTCCATGGTCAGAATCCCACTTCATTATGGAAAAAATTTTTGTTGGTAGTAGTAAAGAAGACACTAAAACTTCACCCAAGAGATGATTTTGAATAGTCTGGGAAATCTGAAGTGATTAAAACCATAAATGACCGAGGCAGTGGCAAGAAAAGGGGCTTCACTTTTGTAAACTTTGGTGACCATGACTCTGGATAAGACTGTTCAGCAATGCTGTCCTGTGAATGGTTACAGCTGTGAAGTGAGGAAAGCCCTGTTGGAGAAAGAGATTACTAGTGCTTTATCTAGCCAGAGGCCAAAGTTGTTCTGAAAACTTCAGTGGTAGTTGTGGAGGTGGTTTTGGTGACAAAGACAACTTTGTGGAGAAAACATAGTGGTTGTGTTGGCTTTGGTGGCAGTTGTGGTAGAGGGACGGCTACAATAGGTTTGGTAATAAGGGAAGCAATTTTGGAGGTAGTAGAAGCTACAACGATGTGGTAACTACAGTCATTAATCTTTAAATTTTGGACCCATTGAGGGAGGAATCTGGAGGCAAAAGCTCTGACCCATAGAGTGGTGAAAATCCGTATTTCTCCAAACCATGAAATCAAGGTTGCAGCAGCAGCAGCAGCAGTAGCTTTGGCAGCTGCATGCAGAAGTGGTTTTTTTGTTTGTTTGTTTTTGTTCTGTTCTGTTTGTTTGGTTTTTTTTTTTTTTTTTTTTTGAGAAGGATCTCCCTGTGTAGCCCAGGCTGACCTCAAACTCACCATCTTCGACCTCCTGAGTGCTGGTATTACAGACATGAACCACCATGCCTGGCTTAGAAGGTTTTAATTACTTCAAACAGTCAAAACTTAGGAGGAGAGGAGAGTCAGAGAAGTAACAGGAAAGCTACAGGACAACCATATTTTTTGTTTTTTCATGGTACTGTGGCGTATGGACATACTAAAAAAGAACTAGCTTGGTGATGGTTGTTCAGCAATGTAATTGTACACTTAAAACAGTTAAAATGGTAACTTTTATGTTATGTATATTTTACCACAATAAAAAATTTAATATTGTTCGTAGTTTTGGGATATTTCATATGTACTTGTTTTTGTTAAGTAACAACAAAAGAACAGGTTTCTCTGCAGTTCTCCTAAAAAGAGGTAATATGTAAAAAATTTCAAAGTTTTTATAACTATGTGTGAATCAGATGAATCTGCCATTTGTTTTTCTTACCTGCTTTATAAACCTTAAGTAAAAGGTACCTAGCAAGGTCTCTGGCATGTGAGAAGTCTTTACTGGTTATAGCTGCTGCTGCTGCTATTTTGTTATCTTTTGGAACATGAACTCTTAGAGCTTAAAAGACCTTAAATATCTTTTCAACCCTTTTGGTTTTTTGGATGGAAAGACTAAGTAAAGCTCAGAGAGAGAACATGGCTTGCTAAATCTTTGAGTGCTAGAACAGTAGGAAACTGAATTATAGCTAGGCTTGGATTTTAGTTTACTGCTGTTAGAAGTATCACTGCACTGCCTTGATCACAAATGAGACACATGCTCAACAGCTGATGGACAAGGCAAAATTTACTTCTCCAGGTAGAAGGAAGGCGGAAGGACCCCCTTGGTTTTTATCCCTGAGGCAGAACCGCCCCTGGCTCTAAGGAGGGAGTTCTGGTTCACAGTCTTAGTGATTGACTAAGGTTGAGGTTTAGGGGAGGACATAGGGGAACAGCAGACATGATTGGAAAGCATAGACACAAGACTTAATTTGATTGGTATACTCAAAGACAGAGGTGACCTGTAAGGCAGGAATTTCTAGGATTTTGGGGAAACTGAGGCCTGAAATGACTGTTTGACTAGGAATGGCAGCACCATGTATATAATTAACATGTGGGCCTAGGGGGACCTTGAAGCAGAGATTCCTCTGAACAATGATTATCCTAAGACTGGTAGTTTTAGTTTTAGGATATCCAATGACAAACAATTCTCTGCTTAAAGGCAGAAACTTTACAGCCAGGCAATGTGCCACTAGGCACATAGACAACTGGGGAAATTAGTTAATATCCACACAATGACAGACATACTCCATAGTGTGATACGGGGGCTGGGGTGGGGGAAGAGGGTCAAACCTAGGACCCTGAGATTAAGAGTCTCATGCCCTGCCAACTGAGCTAGTTTTTTGACAGAAAAGACCCAATTTAGTTGATTATCATACTGCCTTTCCTACTGTACTCTGTTTCTACCCAGACCTTTAATAGGTTTCTCTGCTACCTCCTCCCTACTAGACTTTAAACTCTTTGATGGCAGGACAGCATCTTCATCATGATATTTGCAGAACTTGATACAATGCCTGGCACATAGTAGGCATTCAGTAAATATTTGTGGAATGTTTGAATGAGGCCTTGTACCTGTGGGAAGGTTAAGCTGGGACTTTGTAAGAATCCATTGTTAAATTTACATCATAGAGAAGGGAGGGTTCTGGGAGCTGTGAAAGGACAGATGAGATGATAGCTGTTTTTAGACTTAGTTCCACAGGATTGCTGTGGGATGGGAGGAAGATCTAATGGCCACGTTGATAAGCTTTTTATTGTGAAGTTGCTTATAGCCTTTTAAGTGTGTTATAATGTTGGGGTCCAAGGTTGACC